CGAGGCACGTGCGTCAGGAGGCGGTGTCCCGCTCGCACCGGTCCCAGGAGTTTGGCCTCATCCCTCTACCGAGGCGCAGCGCCCCCTCGGGACTACGCTCAGTCCCGAGGTCTTTCCACGCCGTTTCAGCAACACCTGCAAGCTCTCCACCTCGCCAAAAAAGTACCCAAAAAACGCGAGACCTCCGTACTGCTCACGCGAGACTTCCCGCAGCATGGCGCCCTCGAATGCGCCTGGGACGGCGCGCAGGCCCTCCTCCTCGCGGCGCCGCGCGCGCGCTCCTCAGAAAATAGGCCTCGGCGTCCGTGATTGCGCGAGGAAGGCCTTACCTTTGCGAGCTTCACCATGGCGGCGGCTTATGAGGGTGGAGTGTGTAGCGGGTGAGTGGCGCAGATGTGCCCAGAGGAACCAAACGGCGTCGATGGCGGCCGCTAGTACTGAAGAACCGGAGCGCGTACGTCTCGCTACCAGCTAGAGCTCGAGACTGAGGCGAAAGACTGAGCCTGCCCAGTAATCCCCTCTGGAAAGGCGACGACTGTGCCCTCGTGACTCCACTTCAACCAACCAGAGTTTGCGCTCATCCCACGAGCCAATTGCGAATCTCTATCGAGGACGTCGCGGGGCGGGGCCTGGGCAGGAGTGGGCGGGCCAAGGCCGCCGGAGGAGAGGGTGGAGATTCCGTTTCGGCGGCCTGGGGGGAGGATCGCTTTGTGCAAGGCCGACGTTGATTGGGTGGTGGGCGCGCGGTGACCGAAGCGCCCCTCCGCGGAGCCTGCGCCTTGGGACGGACCTTTTTTGGCGCCGCCTGTGTCGATCTCGGTGCGCCGTGGGTATCGGCCCTCTCCTGGTCCCGGTGTGTCGGGATCCTGTCGACTCGGGCAGTTTTTCGGTATCCCCGCCCCGCACTCCATGCTTAGCCTCTCGGCTGCCATGGAGAAAGGAATTCGCCCATATTACCTTGATGAGCCCGAGATCTGGGTTCACAACGCCGGAGTGGGAGGCCCACCTTAGCCCCGGGTCTGCAGGTGATTCCTTCCCGGGCCACGCGCCTAACGTTGCCTCCGGAGAGCTGTGCATAAAGGCAGTCGGGGCTAGTGTGGGTGGCAACCAATCCATGTGTCTCTCTTGCATTGATGTTTCTCTCCCACTCTCCCTCCCTTCCAACCTCTGAAAAGAAATGGGGAAAATACCTCCAGGTGAGGATTAAAAATAAACAAACAGTTCAAGCAGGGAATTGGTTCCAAGGTTAATAGAATTGCTGAGAAGCCCAATGGGACTTAAGACACAAGCAGGAAGTTGCTGCCACCCACAGACGACCCCTTTCCAGGGATCAGGAAACCGGCCTCGGGCGCCAGAGTGAAAGGACCTGGCCGTGGCCTCCTAGAGGCAAAGGACCGACCCCTTTGGGGGTCACCTAAGACGAGAAGCTCAGAGATGCGGGGCTCAGCCCTCAGCTCCCCGACTGTCCCAGTGACCAGGGACCCCTGAGCCTGCAGGAGGGCGGGTCCTGGGCCCGAGTCACCGCCCCTGACTCACCTGCTGCACCTCCCAGTCCAGGCCCTGGTCAGCTACCCCCTCTCCCTCCAGGAGGCCAGGCCGGCTGGAGAGGAGTCCTGCCTGCGATGCGCAGGCCTGCGTTTCTAACCGTACTGCTCAGCAGCAGCTCGGAAAACCTTCCAGGAGTTCCAAATGGATTTGGCCTCTGGTTGCCATCCCCATCCCCTCCCCCCCCCGCGTCTATTCCCTGTCTTCTCTCCAGGGATCCTCGCTTCTCCCCCTCCCCCAGCATTTACCCATTTCCCACTTCCCGGGGAGAAAGCAGACCTCCCGGGTGTTCCCACCTGGGAGTTGCAGACAGCCCTGGTCCTTAGCTGTCCCCTCCAGGCCCCCGGAAGCTGGAGGCTCTCTAAAACAGCGGTTCTCAACCTGTGGGGCGCGACCCCTTTGGGGGTCACCTAAGACCATCGGAAAACACATAGATAATTACATATTGTTTTTGTGATTAATCACTATGCTTTACGTTCAAATTATAACAATGAAAACACATCCTGCATATCAGATATTTACATTATGATTCATAACAGTAGCAAAATTACAGTGATGAAGTAGCAACGAAAATAATTTTATGGTTGGGGGTCACCACAACATGGGGAACTGTATTAAAGGGTCGCGGCATTAGGAAGGTTGAGAACCACTGGTCTAAAACAATGTTCTTTCACTGGGGACAGGGGAGCCTCTCTCTGCCTCACCCTCACCCTCCTCCTTTCCTTCTCTTGTCCTTCACCAGAGCAAGCTGCAGGGAAGAGGAGAAAAGTTGCTGCCAGTCCCTCTCAGGACCCCAACACCCTCTTGGTTGCGAGCCCAAAGGACACTAGTGAACCTTCTCTTTCTGCACCACTCTGTGGCTTTTTCCTTGACCGTGTCCTCCATGGAACGTTTCCCCTGCCTCCTTTCCCTTCCTTCACCCTGTAAGTTCCCTCCTTGGATAATGCCCTTGACTCTGTGGTCTCAACTCCTTCTGTATATACCTCTACCTCCTGCCCTCTGCTTGGGGCCCCTTCTCTGGCAGCAGCTGTGGCTCCACCTCCCAGTGAAGAGCTGCCCCCCACCCCACCCACCATGGTGCCCAAATGGTGTTCCTCTCCAGGAACAACTTGCCTCCTGGGATCCAGAAAGCTGCCTTCGGGGTTCTATAACTCTTCACATTCAGAACGTCACAGCTTCTTCCACCCGAACGGCCATTTTTCATATCTCGTTAAATGAGACACAGCAGCCAGCCCTCTGTGCCAAGAGCCAGATGTCACCTTAGACCCAACTTCTCCCTCTACTCCCACAGCAGGGGCTTCCCAAGGCCTGGCCTTCGGATGTCTTTGGGATCCGTCCACTACTCTGGCCACTACTTCCATTTAAGCCTTCCTTTCCTGCCTGGATCATGAGGTCATGTGGAATTCATCCTCTACACAGTGTGAGCAAATGACTGGTGCTCAGTGAATGCTGATTCCATGAATGATGGCTTAGAGTTGTTGGAGGAATGTCAGGATAAGCCAGGGAGGTCCCAGGAACTCTGGTGGGTATTCCAGACAGTGTGGTATCACAGATACTCCAGAGAACAGGGCATCTGCTCTAGGTCCTCCAATCTAACCTCAGCCCATGGCCACCTTGCCTGAGTGGGAGCAGGCTTCCCAGCAAAGGACTGTCTTTCCTGAATCCCCACTGTTCCCCGCCTGGGCCTCAGCTTCTGTTCCTGTCCAGTCTTCCATCTGCCCTCCTGTGCAGAGGATTGAAAGGTGAGGTTGAAAGTAGCTGAGGGTCTGGACCTCAGCCTTGAAAATTCAGAAACCTGAAATTTTAAAAGATCATTTATACCTCACACCCGTTAGGTAAAAAAAAAAAAAAGCCCTAGCCAGTTTGGCTCAGTGGATAAAGTGTCAGCCCAAGACTGAAGGGTCCCGGGTTCCATTCTAGTCTAGGGCACATACTTCGGTTGCAGGCTCCATCCCTGGCCCCAGTGGAGGTGTGTGCAGGAGACAACCAATCCACGTGTCTCTCCCATCCATGTTTCTCCCTCTCTGTCTCTCCCCCTCCCTTCCACTCTCTTTAAAAATCAATGGAAAAATATCTTTGGGTGAGGATTAACAAAACAAAAGAAGTGTTGGTGGGGATGTGGAGAAATCGAAATCGGAGCCCTATACTGTGCTAGTAGAAATGTAAAACAGTGCAGCTTCTTTGGAAAATAGTCTGGCAGCTCCTTAAATGCTTAAACAGAGTTACCATATAATCCCGCAAATCCACTCCTATGTATATACCCAAGAGAAATGAAATCATATGTCCATATAAAAATGTTTACATGCCCTAGCTGGTTTGGTTCAACAGATAGAGCAGTGGTTCTCAACCTTCCTAATGCCGGGACCCTTTAATACAGTTCCTCATGTAGTGGTGACCCCCAATTTCATTGTTAAAAATTGAACATAATTAAAGCATAGTGATTAATCACAAAAACAATATGTAATTATATATGTGTTCTCCAATGGTCTTAGGTGACCCCTGTGAAAGGGTCGTTCGACCCCCAAAGGACTCGCGACCCACAGGTTGAGAACTGCTGAGATAGAGCATTGGCCTGCGGACTGAAGGGTCCCAGGTTTGATTCCAGTCAAGGGCACATGCCCGGGTTGCCAGCTCGATCCCCAGTAGGGGGCCTGCAGGAGGCAGCTGATCAATGATTCTCTGTCATCATTGATGTTTCTATCTCTCTCTGAAATCAATAAAAAATATATAAATATATAATTGACTGGGAATTGAACCATGACCTCCTGGTTCATAGGTTGATGCTCAAACACTGAGCCACACCGGTCAGGCTGAATTGTACACTTTTGTGGATGAAAAAAGGGTTCTGTGGAAAGTAGCCTCACAGGATGGTCTGATCATAAACTCCTAACTGGACAGCTCATGGTGAGTAGTCACAACCCATATCTATAACTTTGTTTTTTATTATTTTTTTATTTTTAATAAAATATATTTTATTGCCGAAACCGGTTTGGCTCAGTGGATAGAGCGTCGGCCTGCGGACTGAAGGGTCCCAGGTTCAATTCCGGTCAAGGGCATGTACCTGGGTTTTTTCTCTCCCCCCCTTCCTCTCTGAAATCAATAAAAAATATTTTTAAATATATATGTTTATTTTAGAGCGTAAGGAAGGGAGATAGAGAGAGAAACATTGATGATGTGAGAAAATCATCGATCAGTTGCCTCCCATATACACCCCTACCAGGGATCAAACCTGCAACCTGAACACGTGTCCTGACTAGGAATCGAACCAGCGACCTTAGGATGGATGGCACCACATTTAACCAACTGAGCCACACTGGCCAGAGCAGGCCCACAACTTTTTAGTAAAAGGTTTATCTTGGCCTTAAACAAGCCCTGTCCATTGTTTCTGTGCATCTAGGTTAACACATTTTTGAAATAACCACTCTCAAGAGCACATAATTATTACATAATTAACTATCCTAGAATCCAATACCTGCCTTGCTTTCTCACCTCCATGTGATCTCCCTTATTTTCCCTCCTTAATTTCAAGTGCATACAAAAAGCTGCTAAACTGTTATTTTCTGGAGCCTTTGAGATCTTGCTCCCCAGTATGTCGTCCGTTTGGCTCAAATAAACTCATAAAACTTTTCCACAGTTTCAGATGTTTTTTACATTGACACTTTAAAAGGGTGACTAAAAAAATAAATAAATAAATAAATAAATAAATAAATAAATAAATAAATAAATAAAATAGCCCCACCCAGTTTGGCTCAGTGGGTAGAGCTTCGGCCTGCAAACTAAAGGGTTCCGTTTTTGTTTTTTTTTTTAATGTATTTTATTGATTTTTCACAGAGAGGAAGAGAGAGGGATAGAGAGCTAGAACATCGATGAGAGAGAAACATCGATCAGCTGCCTCCTGCACATCTCCTACTGGGGATGTGCCTACAACCAAGGTACATGCCCTTGGCCGGAATCGAACCTGGGACCTTTCAGTCCGCAGGCTGACGCTCT